AGCTTTCGCAATATTCTGACAACTAAATTCTTTCACTAGCCTACACTAGTAAGTTGGTGAATACTAGCACACATGGTACAAGAAAATGGATTATGTTCAGTATGCTTGAAACTTGATAAGCGTCTGAGAGGAAATCACATCTTTTATAAGAAATTCCAGCAGATACTTCTTTTAAATGCCAACATCCACTCGTTCCTGAATATTATCAGGAGGCAAGATTTTTTTTTCCACAATCCAAACCATCTTTAACATGACTTGTCCTTTGGTTTATATTCTGAAATGTGTGCCTTGGGTTTCTCCTCAATTTATCTTTCCTTCTCAATTCATGTGTATACTGTTCTGTATTTTTTCCTCTCTTTCCAAAGTAATTTTAAACCTCTCTGCCTTTTTCCTGAATCTTCCTTTTTGTTCAGTAAATCTTGACATAATATTTTTCTTTTATAAAAGTCTTTAGCATTAAAACTATCTGAGACCTGTTTCTTTATCTGAAACAGGTGGTGAGAAATTCATTAAAAAAGAATTCTTCTGTTAAAGTGGTTAGTATTTCTTGCAAGAACAGAGATTTCATGTCACTCTTAGCAGTTATTCTTGCTCTTTTCTGCTGTGCCTGATGGGAACAGTACTCCCTTGCTCAAGAAGGGCAGTAGCATCCTGTCCTGGTGAAGAGGAGGAACTAATATGTGAACTGAGATTCTGACTTTTCTACTGGACAAGAGAGAGATGGCAGGCATAGTGAGAAAGTAATTCTGCGCCTCTCTGAAAGAGGACTGTTTATTGTGAAGAGTAGCAGAAGTAATTAATTTTAAACTGTTCAACAACACTTTCAAAACATAGGTGGTCAAAAACATTTTGGATAGAGTATGGTGCAGATAATTGTTTCACAGGACTTACATAAAATTTCAAATGGCTTTGTAAACTGAGTATATTTGGGGAATATGTTGTAGTTCTGTCAAGCACCACATATTCCTCTATAAACTCGTTTCATCAAAGTGTGAAACTTGACCTCAGAAGTTCTTTGCAATTAAAGACTGTCATAGTAAGTAGTAAAGCAGAGTATCGTACCAGATGTTGTACATGCTGTTGGAAAAGTCCTTTATGTAAAGTGGGAGGTGGTGCATTAACTATCTGCAGCCTAGTACTTATCTTGGGCCGCCAGCTGTGCACACAAAGTGCTAGAAGTTTTCTGTAAGAGCTTTTAATGTCTGCAGATGATTTCTAGAATTATGATGATTGTAAATTATAAAATCATTAAAGATCAAACCCTGAGGGTGGTCGGGTACGTTTAGACCATCTCCTAAAGTAGCTGTTATATTCGCAAAGACTTCATATAATACAGTCAAATAGTTGCCTGTGTTCATGCAATATTTGCACTTAATTTAAATCTTTGCTGCAAGCAGCTGAAGTCTTTGAACTCTCCTTCCTAGACTGTATTTCCTAAAAGTTGTCTTTTTCTTGGAGAAATGCCAGAGAAATCTTGGATCAATGTCTTGGAGGTATAGTGTCCAAACTGGTTACAAGCTTCATCTTGTATGAGGAAAAATTAAGCATTGCTGTTAATCTCAGAAATGACACTACACTTTTTTGCAGCAGTGTCACATCACTGAGCCATTCAATCTGTGGGTCACTTTAATCCCCAGATAAATTTCAATAGTACTGAAGTTTACTGGACTTGAAACTTTCATCTAAATGTGGTTGAGTGTCTGTAGCTCTTTTATAGCATAGCTGTAAGTATTCACAGATCAGTACACTGGAAATGTGTTTAACCACACTTGCTCTTCTGTTTTTGTCATAAAGGATGACTGTATCTTACGACCCTTCAGCAGCTGTGAACTAGAAACAGTCATGTAAATCGGGTACATTCAGTTGTGTAAACTCAAAAGATTCCTGTAATGGTTGCCTAATAAATGAGTAATTTTCCTCTTTGTTCTTTGATAAACTTTTACAGTAATGCTTTAAGATTTTGTCAAATCTAAAATGAAAACTTTCTGCTTTGGAAAACAAATTCTGCCCTTTGAATTCTTTACCTTAAGTACTGCGTTTTCGTAGTCAGGCAGTTGAATTTGTACAGCAGTAATTCCAAGTATTTTAACCAGCTTGCTGTTGCACTAAAAACTCTATGAATACTGGACAAAACCAAGTATTTGAGAACTTCACAATTCTATTTGATGTTATGGCCTATATGTTGAGGATCTCACAATAGATTGTCCACCAAATTTGGCAATCTCACATTATGTATTCGGAGAGGTGCAAATTCAGTTACCTCAGGTCTTGAGAATAAGGCTGTTCCAGGAATTCGTGCTTGTTATTGAAACTGCTTCAAAAAAAGGTATGAGCTACAAGAGTTTGTGCAATATAGAGGATAAGCCATATAGTAAGCACATCCTTGTTTAGTCATACCAACTGTTTGAGAATTAATTCCTTCTCCATTAATAGCTATATTCATAGGGATTTTCTTGGTTTAGTCTGTTTCTGTGGCTTGGGGGAAAAAAAAAAACCAAAACCAAAAAAAACCCCAAAAAACGAAAACATTGCATGTATGCTGTGCATTATATATGACTTCCCTGAAGCTAGTTCTGTTTGAACCAAAGTGTATTCCTAGAAAAATGTTAGTTCTTGGTTAGAAACTTTGTCCTGTGAAGGAAGAGACTACCAATTGTGTGGTTTAATCATTCAGCTATTTTCACCATGGAGCTGCTGCATTTGTCTATTGGACTTGCCCTTGTATTAAATTTCATATCTATTTGTAATATTTATGTATGGATTAAAATCTTTCTGCCTCCCAGGTATTCTTTAAACTAAATTAGTTGAATTATTAAGCTTTTTGCTCTTTTTTTTTAAAAAAAAAAAAGGTATTTATAATTTTCATATCAGTTTATGTTGTGGTGGTTTTTCAAATCATGCAAGCCTACTTTAAAACTGTGTGTACTTCAGCTGGCACAATGTTACAGTAATACATCAGTAAACCAGAAGTATTACCCCGTTATGTATTCAGAGATCATATCTGCCATTTTATTGTAGAAATACTTTCATTTTGTTATCGACTATAATTCCAAGTCTCTTTAGAGAAGTTAAATCCTGGATACAATCCTTCCTAGTAGAAGGCTTCTGTTTTTCATTCCCTGATGTATATAATTATGCATTTCAAAACAATCAAATGTGTTTGGGTGTTTTATGCCTAAATTCACAAGGCAGTTCAGAATAAATGACGCTTGCGTTATTCCTATTTTCCCGTGACTTAGAAACATTGATAGTAACTTCAAGTTTTCCAGTTATAAATGAAAAGGTGGAATAATTTCGGTATTAGAGTTTCTGGAGGGATGTATTAGATCTATACCTCTGTTACCACTTCTACATGAGTATGTATAAAATATATACCAATACAGATAGACTTTTGGATCAAAAATTTACATAGAGCTTTTGGTGCATTTGGTAGATATTGCTATCTTCTACTGTTCAGATTATTAGAATGTCATTGGTACAATAATATTGGAGTAGGATTCTGTTGGCTGAACGTAGCCTACATTGCGATTGTAGATCTCCTGTGATTTTCTGCTTGGTGTCTCAGCTGCTTCTCTAGAAAGGAATAAATCTCCCATAGGCTCCTATAGTAATATGTGATCCTGTACAGATTTCTTGAGCCTTCTAGGGTGTATGAGAAAGTAAGAGCAATCAATCGTCATGTAACTGAATCAAGTCCCGTGTGTATTGCAGAAAAGTAGCAGTGTTGTATTTATTGATTAAAACTTGTTTTCTCAGATTTCAAAAGCTCACACTAAATTCACACTGGATTAGCATTAATTATTTTCTTTTAATTGTATTAGGGTTCCATATTTCCTCCCTTTCTCTCCTACCACCCAATCAATTTTGAATGGATCCTGCTGGTAAAGGGTAATTGGTAGAATCATAGAAGTGTCAGTTGGAAGTGACCTCTTAGTTGTGGTGTGTGGGGTTTTTTGGGGGGAAGAGAAGATTGGTTTTGGGAGGAGTGTTTGTTTTGGTTTTTTGAAGCTTGAAAACCTTTGGTGATAGAAATTCCACAACCTTTTTGGGTAACCTGCGGTGCTGTATTTATGCACAAAAGAATTTCCTCCACCTCCCAAACTGTAATTTACAGCTGTTGTCCCTAGTTGTATGACCTGCCACTGTGAAGACCTGTATGCTTCCACTTGTGGCTTATATCTATCCCACAGATGTTTTCAGTGTGAAATATGGTGTTAAGTACTTTCCAGATGTTTGGATAAGTAAATTTAAGTTTTACTGTTTTGTGTAACCTGCAGTTAAATTCCTATCCATTTAACTAACTCTTCTAGTTTTATTTTTAGTTTTGGTTTTTTCCCCATGGGAAACTAAAGAGGAGAAAAACAGTAGTCAGATATTTTTTCCATTGTTTTAATTCAGATACTGAGCACAGAGTTGATCTTTAGCAGGATTTGGTTTTAATGCATTGTGTAAATAACATGAAAAATGCTACGACCGGGTTTCAGCTGCAAGAGCACCTAACATCAGAATAGTCAGGTTTCAGATCTGTAGAAATCTAACGTGTCAGAATGGAGCTTAAGTTTATAATGGGGTAGGTGTAACTGCCTGCAGTGCTGTAGGACTGTGTGTGTGGTCTTTCAACAAAACTTTTTGAGACTTCCACTTAGTGAGAGAAATCAACACTGTTGCAATTTCACCCCTGAAGTGAAGTGACCTTTTATGCTAAAAGGTGATGAGGGTGGTAAGGGAAAGCAAGGTGCATATCATACACATCTTATATGTAACTTGTAAGATATCTGAACCACTGTTGTTAAAATATATCCTGCCCTTTCTATGTAACGATAAATATGATAGGGAAATGCAATATATCTATTAAAAAACCTCCAGCCTTCAAGAACTTTAAATATGTGTTGTAAAGATGATTACACTTTTATATATTAATGTTTTATGTTGCGCGAAACAACCACAACCCAGAATTCTTAACTTCAGTAGCTATGTAACTTTTTCCTTCCTTCCTTCAGATAACAGTGATCTAATTGCTTGTACAGTCATAACAAAGGATGGGGGTCAAGTTCAAAGATTCCTGGCTGTGGATATTTACCAGATGAGTTTGGTTGAGCCAGATGTTGCCAGACTTGGATGGGGAGTAGTTAAGTTTGCAGGCCTTTTGCAGGTAAGAGGAGTTTTAATCTGGGTGGTTACTTTTTCTCAACTGAAAATTTACATTTATGTTGGATAAATAGTAATACCAATATTAGCTTATATATTTAAGCTCTATACCATGCTTACTTCTTTCTTCTCTTACGAGTCTTTTTTCTAGTTCTTGCCTTTTAAACTATTTCTGATTTTTCTGAAGAAGTTTACATAGCTAACTAGAGGCAGACTTGAAAATGAGGTAACTTCCCCAATATATATTAGACTGTGTTCATTTGAACACTGGAATCATATATAATTAGGATTGAGTCCCAAGCACTTTCCTTAAGTAGCACAGTAATGAACTCTTCTAGAGTTCTGATCTTCGTACATAGGTAGGGAAGGTGACACATTTTAACTTCAAAATGATCTGTGCTTATCTAATTGATTTCAAAAGCTTTTAGAAGTTTCTCTCATTTAAGTCTCTTTCCTGCCTTAGCCAACACAGTATTTCCTGAAAATTTGCTGTGCTCAAGTAACTTCAATGAATTTTAAACTGACTTAATCTCCGAGTACCAATTTCTGAAGAACTAAATCCGAGGTTGTACAACTTGCATAGTCCTTTTTGGGGGATTTTCTTTTAATGTTGATATTTAATCTATAGTTTCAAAATGCGAACTTTTTCATTAGCTACTTCCCTTCTGTTTCTTTTTAGGATATGCAGGTGACAGGGGTAGAGGATGACAGTAGAGCTCTCAACATAATCATCCATAAGCCTGCCTCAAGTCCTCATTCTAAGCCCTTCCCTATCCTTCAAGCTACATTTATTTTTTCTGATCATATTCGCTGCATTATTGCAAAACAACGTCTTGCAAAAGGCCGTATCCAAGCTCGACGTATGAAAATGCAGAGAATAGCAGGTGAATGGTTATTTTGAAATGATTCTGAGAAACAAGTCTTGTATGTCATAGCAAGTCACTCTATAACATAAGGATATGTTAGAAAAATCTAAAAGTGGTGTGCCACAGAAAACTATAAACCAGTGTCTGATTTCCAAGCAATAGATTTTATTGGAGTAAAATACGTGTTTTCATATTTAATGATAGATGCATCAAAGAAAGGATGAAAAAGGAGGAATTCTGTCTTGTTACCACTAACTAACAATCATTTCACAAAACTCACCAGTTCTCTTTAAATGTGATTTAGTGATTCAAAATTAAAATGCCCTACTTAAAAAGCAGATGTTTACTGCCTTAGGACTAAATTGGAGCTCAGCTTGCCTGAGTCCTGAGCGGGATGGTGTCCTGATGGTGTTGATGATAATGCTTAATGCTTGGATGAGGTGATGGTGAGCAATCCAAAATGTGGAGTATCAGCAGCTAGATTTCTGTGTTTGGAGGAAATGCATTCGAAGAGATGAAGGAAAGAGTTAATTTGACTAAATAGCAGAAAGTTATTAAAATATTACTTGAATATTAAGTGAGTGAAGAATAAATTGAAGCTTACCAGTAAACTGGATGAATTGGTGAGTATAGAAAAGGAAACTCTGAAATACAGGAAGGAAAATAGGAGGGCAAATGAAAAAGGACACCAGCTGTCTCAGTTACTTGGATTATCCAAGAGTGATAATGAACTAATCAAAGTTGTGGAAAACAAAGTCATAGCTGGTATTAAAATTATTGAGCTGGCCAGAGAATTACTCTGATTATAGGTGGTTTAAGATTTTAGTGTCTTATGGTTCTGTAGGAAGCTAACTAAAAAGAGTTTTATGCTTTGAGTTTACAAAATAGTTATGTCATATTTTTATAGCTTGCTTCACGTTAAAAAATTTAAAGCAAGTTTTAGATTAATACAGGTCTATTTTGATATTAAAATTTTAGCTTGAACAGTAATGCAAAGACATTTTTTTGCTAGTTTAAAGCAGCTTGTACCTTTAAATGGCTTTCTACTGTGTTCAGTTGTAACTAATGAATGACTTTATTTGTACAGGGAAGAACAGAAGTTTGGTTTGTTTGATTTTGGTTTTTTTTTTAATAACTCCTATGGCTTGTGTAATGCAGGGAGCTTACTGTAATCCTTTTTTTCTCCTCCACTGTATTTTGAGACTTCCTTAGTGTGAATGTGGTGTGAACAGCAATGGTAGAAATGTAGCCAGAAATGTTATTTCCTTTTCTGATGCAATTGTGACCATAATTGAGGTAAATGCAGGCAAGTTACATTCATCAGTGTAGTTTAGTCTTAAGATCCTGAGCAAACTATCCATTGTATTTACACCTACTCTTCCTTTTATGTATTTTTGAGTAACAAAAATTATCCATTGTGATTAAACATAGCTCTCCTGGATCTTCCTGTTCAGCCTTCAACTGAAGTTGTTATGGGTTTTGGACACAGCTCTGCAGCTACAGCCCAGCACCTTCCATTTAGATTTTATGACCAGTCACGACGTGGTAGCAGTGATCCTACAGTGCAACGCTCGGTTTTTGCATCTGTTGACAAAGTTCCAGGTGAGATTAGCATTCATTACCAAGCAGTTTTTGCGTGGTGATTTGTATCTGCAAAAGCTGAACTGTAACTTGTATAACAATGAAAAACTTACTCTGATATGTTTCTGAACACAAAACTCCAGGATGAGGCTTAAGGAAAAATTTACTCCTAAAGAAATAAATAATATATGGGTGCATATTCGAGGTACGTTGTGAGCAGTACATCCATGGCAGTTTCTCCAAATACACTGGAAGTGTCTTAGTACTTTGCCTTCCTTTACAAATTGAGTTATTTTAAATCATGTTTTGCATACTCAGTATTTATGCAACACATCTGTCAGTTGCACATGGTTCTTCCTTTAATTTGGTTATGATCATTTTCTTGCCAGTTTGTAAAAATAGTTGGGATACTGTGCACTGCTTTGTTTACCTTGGAGCTAGCAAGACACAAAATGGCCACAGCTACTCCTTAAACATTAGCTTGGAATTGGGATTAAAGGAATGATTCTAGATCAATGAGGTCTTTGCTCTTTTGTCTCCTTATTTTGTCCATTTCATAAATTGACTTCTCTGCAGATTTTTTTTTTCCAGATGATGAACTTTTCTACTTTGGATTGAGTCATTTTAAAGTTGAATCTCATACTGCTTGAAAGTACTGAACTTTGCTGTATTACACAAAAAGATGTAATCTTGTTACCACTAGCTGCCAGTCATTTCACAAAACTCATCATTTCTCTTTAAATGTGATTCAGTGATTCAAAATTCAAATGCCTTACTTAGGAAGCAGATGTTCTACTGCCTTAGGACTAAATTGGAGCTTGGCTTGCCTGAGTCCTGAGGCTGTGGAACAGAAATTATAAAAGCATTTATATTGCCAGTCAGGTTTTTCAAAAGATAAGTGTATGTTGTATGATGGGAATGTATTTCCTTATTTGACATCATTTCCATGGAAAAGGTGTGGTTGAAAAGATGCCAGCATTACTGTTTCAGAATCAACCTTCTCTAAGAAGAGTGCGCTTGTGTTTATAACAAGTGACTTCATCTAACAATTCTTTTTGGGTGTTTTTTGGGAAGGTATTGGGGGTGGTGCAACATGGTAGTTTGTTCAAACAAGCACATACTTACTTTGAATTCCATGAAATGGAGCCTTCTGCTGTATGCACACGCAAATTCAGAGGAAAAAGTATTTTGAAGCTTTTATTTGATACCAAGTGTGAGAAACCAGGCACAGAAGTATTTCAAATGCTGCACATTTGAAATGCATTTTGTGATAGCAAGTAATATAATAAAAATGGATCAATACATTGTTTTACATCTGATTACAAAATAAATATCAAATGCCTCTTCCTTCTCCCCTTATCTTTGAATAAATGAGGTTTCCTAGTTCTGAGTGATTTTCATAGGCATCTATTTGTGTTTATCCTTTAATCAGACTTGGAGTGATTTTTACTTTGAGAAGGGGTTTTGTGCCTTTTAAAAAAATTATTGAGCAAGTTGCAGTCAAATTACTGGATTCTTATATTCATTTCTTAATGCTACAACTTTAAGTGGTGTTTAAGAATACTGCAAAGCTCATATAGTCTGTTAATTTGATTGTAATTGTAAGAAACAAGTTATGCTTTCCTTTTGGTGATGGTGGTTTTTGTTGATTTAAAGGAGAGCTTTGTTTTCGGCAGTGTTTTAATCACTTTTAGTAGGACCATGTTAGCTGTCAGTGCTGTACATCCAATGTGGTTTTTAAGAAATTGCCAATGATATAAATGTTTTCAACCCTCCTGCAAATTTCACTCTGTGGAGAATTTTAGTACAACTATTGAATTCTGTAATCCCTCTTCTCAATGAATTTAGAATTTTCCAGAACAGTTACTTCAGTCTGGTCTGGTTCAGTTTCTATCACAGTGCATACATAAAGCTCTACATATTTCACTAGAGAGCATGCAGTTACCTTACTGTAATCAAACTGTGCTTCACTTTGCTTTATTGTTTCATGGTCCAAAGTTAAAATCTGTTTTGAAAGCACTCGTGATATCTAGGGGGAAAAGGGTGAGGGTTGTTATAGCTTAAAACCAGATTTTGTGCAACACAGGTGAAAGGTGACAAGAAGATAAAAGACCATGCTTCAGTACATCCCTGTTAATACTCTTTGTAAAAAGTATGGCTTATGCAAATGTAGTGAGATGATGTAATCATCCCAGATGACTGGCCTGTTAAACTGCAGAATTCTTATCAGGAAATAACAGAAGAAAAATCCTTCGCTTGATCAATTTTATCATCATGAAGTCATGACCATGAATATACTTCAGGGTCTGTTTTAGGTTAATGACCTTTGCCAGAATGTTAGAGCATATTTGCGATAGTTTAGTTGACTGGACTGTTCACCAACTTATAGATTAACTATGTATTCATATGGTGCTTTTGAAGCATTCTTTATGTATATAAAGAATTATATTGTTTTCAAAGAAAAAATCACATTTGGTATGTGTCCTGTGAACATAGGTGTTTTATATTGAAAGTAAATAAATAATCACTTCCTCTCCAAACTCAAATACTAGTTTCAAATACCAGCTGTGTACTGAGATTTGTATGTTCAGTATTTCTTAAGATAAATCTTAAGATTTCCTGCAAAATGTACATTTAAATATTTTAACAAGTGTGGTCGCTTTCCTACTGAGAAAACTTATTTTGGAAAGCAAAATTAATCAATAGAGCTATCTTATTATTTTCTCCACTGTTAATATCTTAGTATATGATGAAGATAATAAGATTGGGGGGGGAGGAATTGGAAAAAAAAACTTGTTAATATTATTTTAAACTCTGAAGGAAAAAAATTGTCTTTTATAGCTTTGTAACCCTTTAAATGAAAAAGAAAATATAGGTAAGAATTCTATATAAAGTTTGCATCACTTCTTGGGAATAGGAAAACTTTAAACAAAGCCCGGTAATTGTTTAAGCAGTGTTTGAGATTGTTCAGATTTATGTGAAGAAAATTTATTTTAGTTTTGTCAAAGATTATTCACTCTAAAAGTATATTATACACTTTAAGAAATGATGTGCCCTTCTTTAGCAGGTCACTGCAGGTGGGCATAAAATGATAGAATTGGTTTTTTAACGAATAATACGAATGCATTCTTGAAATATGTGTAACCTTTTGTATTTTAATTGCCTTCTCTATCCACGGTAAGAGAACAGATCCTTTTGCTCAAAGTACTAATGAGAGGCTTGACATCCACAGCTTATGAGCATTTGTACTTGGTACTGACTTTATGAGGTTAGATTGCATAATGGAGGACAACTGCTAACTCATTTTATCACCTCAGTATGTTTTTTCTAGTTTAATATTCTTTGAACCATTCCAAGTTTGGTATTTAGTTATGACTGCTGCTTTTAAAGGCCCAACTGTGCTGCCTTTTTTTATTCCTATTTATATTGCCTGGTCATCAGAATTGTGAGGTATGTGAACTACATGCTAATCTTACTGTCATCATCAGAATGATGTAGAACTAAATAATTTCTGTGCAAAGGTATTCAAGCAGAAGTGCCTAATTAAGGTAGTTTGACAGCACTAAGATTACAGAAGATACAGCTAACTTGATTTATGTAATATGAATTAATTGCTTTTGTGCAAGAAATGAAAGATGCCTTTGAAGCTGAGTTAAATATGCAGGACTGCAAGTTAGATTTTTTTTTTTAAATAAGAAACGGATTTGAAAATAGTGTTTGACTGTTACCATTTGGGGAATTTACTGTTTACAAGGATTATTTCAGTAAAAAACCAGCACTTCAAAATAGCACATTCTGAGACAGGAATTCTCAAGTCTTGTGTTCTAGTGCTGACGTATGCTTCAGCTCTCTCCATGCCAGTTGAACTACAGTAACTATTCTAATTTCTTTCAACTTGTGGAAAGGACTTCTGTGGTTGATGGAAGAAATTGTGGCATACTTTAATGTTAGAGTTCCTTTGTGCATTAAAGGACAGTCAAAATAAATGCTGTCTCAACAAAATATCACTCATAATGAGGATGTGCTGGCAAGGCATAAAGAGTAGCAGCCATGGCAAAGAACTAAGTCCTCTTATCACTGGACTTGAAACTAGTCTGTTACATATAGTAAATTCATGAGAAAAACTGTGAATAAAGCTACTGTCATTGTATATTCACACGGCATGGCAAATACAGAGACTAAAAATGTCAGTTAATCCATTTTTTAATGCTGGTTGAAGTTGCAGCAGCTACTGGCGACAGAGCTCCAAGTGACTGATTTGTACATGTTTTTTCTTGGCAGCAAAAACATTTTTTTGCATTAAAACAGTTATTCTTCCTCAGTTTTATGAGGTTATAACAGAGTTTCTTATATGTGAACGATATCTACAAGTCGAAATTTTTTAAAAGTGCATCACATTTTCTGAGGCAGAATAGAACGTTGCAAAGATGCATAATAACTAGGGAAAAGAAAGAAATTATTTTCGGGCATGTAAGTGTATTTTTTCATTCATACCTGCAAAAAAGCTGAAGTTCAGCATTGCATTGATTTGACTAGGGACCAACACGTGGAAAGACATGAGAATTTTTTTATGAGATAACTGTAGTTAAAAGAGCAGAGTTGAAAGAAATTGGAATAAAAAAAGGAAAGACTTTGGGGTAATGAAGATACGGTTTACAATGAGAAAACAGTTTCTGCTTTCTTGGCCAGGGTTTTATTTCTACTTCTCAGGCTTTTTTTTTTTTTTTTCTGTCTTGCTTGTGCTGTTCTCTGCCACCACCACCCCTTCCCCTTCTCCTCATCTTCAAATTTTATTCTTGGGAGATCTTATAGTTCAGTCTGTCTTTCACATGAAGTCATGTATAAGACAGTAGGAAGGTTTTCTCCAATTTAGAAGAAAGATTTGCATTAATTGCTTAAGAAAAGGTTCCTTTGAAGAAAAGCTAAGAAGTTATTTCAGGTTCTGGCATGAAATTTTGCTGCTGTTATGTAAAACACGGCAAAAGGATAACTGATGATACATATTTTATGAAAGAAACACTACCTTATGAAACATTATGATTATGGAAATAATATCTCGTCCAAGGAACTGGGAAAGTACATCTTTACAGCAATACCTTCCTCAGTCTTAAATAGTTATGTTGAAGCAGAATCATGACTACTGGAAGGGAAATATTTGTAACTAACTTCTGTCATAACTTGAGAGTCATAAAGTACTAACAAAGGCACCTCTAGAACCTTTTGTGTGTTATTTTACTTCCCGTAGCCATGATTAATTCTGCTTACCTTTTCTTTGCAGATATCCCCTGAAAGAATTTCCTGGTTAGAATATTTGTTCTTGGTCAGTAGTTTCTCAGTTGCAGTATTTTGAATGGTTTAGACTTGCCTTTCCCTCCTATCTGAAGTACCTTCCCGTGGCACAGTTGAAATCCTTCCTCTGCAGTTGTATTGGGAGAGAAAATATGTTAAGATCATTTGCAAGCAAATGCTTCAGTGTAAGGACATGAATCCATGAGTGCCGTTCTGCAGAACCTTTAGGCAGGCAATCTGGCTGCATCAGGCCAGCTTTTCCTATGAGAGTCACAGTAGACCTTGTTTACTTTTTCTGCTATTTCTACTGTTTTGGTGATGTTGGAAGACTTCTCCATTGAAGTGCAAACCTTTTGTGGATATAGAATGCTTTGGATGGGTACCAATGATGTTAGTAACTGTGCCAAAACAAGTTTCATTCACTTTAACAGATGGCTTTGCCTTACTTCTGTGGTCACAAGTCTGTTGATTATTCCTTGTTTTCCATCCTAACGGGTATTTCAAAATACGAAGTATGTATGAGAAACCTAATGCACATTTGCTGTATTAAAAACTGTATGTATCAGTGACCCTGAGTGCTATAGAAGTCTTTCATATTTGAGGTAGTTTAGTTTGTGGTTAACTTTTTGCAGACTATCAGGCATCACTGTGTGTAACCTCAGTTTAATTTATCTAAATGATTGTAGGAGATGAATCAGTTTGGTTTCTGAAATAAAATACATGGATTTATTTACATTTATGGTATAATTAGCTGCTTACCAAGCTATTTTGTTTTTAACTAAAATAGATGTCTCCTGCCATGGTGGTTATTTAATTCTTTCAATTGGTGTTCATCTTGGACATAATGAATTGTAACTTAAAATAAGAGAAAAACTTGGTAAAAGTGGCATTCACCCATCTAAAACTATGATGCAAGTACTACAGCAGTTCAAATAGCGTTGTGTTTCTACAAATGGATTTGAGTCTAGTTCTTGAGTATAAACATGGGAGGTAGGGGGTAAGAGGTTAGACCATAGATTTTAAGTCAGATTACTAACACAGCTGATGTTTGTTAGCTTTTTTCTGTGTCTTCCTTTCTTCATCCATTCTGTTTTTTTTCCTTGTAACACAACCTGTCAGTATTTCTTGCTGCTAACAGCATTTTCCTGACTTGTCATGTCTGTGTTTTAAAACTTTCATATACTTCTTGTAACAAGTCCATTTAAATTGAGTTTGACTAGCTGCCTGCTGTATGGCACCAGCAAATTCCCCATATAGGAGATTCTCTGCAAGGAGTGAATCATCCATCCATTGCCATGGGAGATTCCTCATATAAAAGAATAAGGAATTGTGTAGTGCATTTGATTTGTCATACCTGATTGTCAGATACTTCCCTTTTCAGTGTTCACTATGCAGTGAAGGCAACAACTAGTATATTCTTAGGTGTTTCATAGTGCATGTTGTGGCTACTTTCAGTAATTCAGGGGACTGCCAATAGTAAACTTTTGCATGAATACTTTCCCATGGGAGAGTGAGGAGGGCTGCAGAAGCAGTTGAGTTGTGTACATCACCCCACAGCCCATATTAAAGATACTTCTTTACTACTTTTGCTGTAAGAAGTGCTTCAACTTCTGAAAAGCTGGTTGCTATCAAAACTTGAAGAGATGACTAAAAGCTTCCTAGTGCTAGGAGGACTGTCTGCCAAAGGAAAGCCTTACTAATAAAATTGAGGAATTGCTATGGGTATGTCATTGTGAAGACAGTTGCTGAGAACCACGAGAAGGGTGTAATCTAAAGCAAGCAAGAGATGAAGGAAGTGTGAACAATGCAGTGGTAGTTGTCTTACCTGGACTTGTGTGAGAAAGACAGTTCATGAACTTTTCTTTCAGAGCATGTTATAAATTCTAGCAGGTAATTCCATAGGAATTTAATGGTAGAATGCTACTATGCTAGTAGATGCTGGACCTTTAGGGTTTTGATTCTTCTGCATTTTTACAATACCAATGCAGTTCAAGATCAAATCACTGACTTCTGTAACAACAAAACCGTGAAAACTGAAAGTTAATTCAGCTGAAAAATCAGAGCAAAGAGGAGAAAACAAGTGCTAATTGAAAGATACAGTAAAGGGCAATTGAAAGATACAGTAAAGGGCAATTGAAAGATACAGTAAAGGGCAATTGAAAGATACAGTAAAGGGCAATTTACAGGTTTTAGTCTCATGGGCGATATCCTGACTTGTTCAAGCAGTCTAATCACAAGTGAGTTAGTAGGTCATCCCAAAGCAGGAGTCTTCAACATATGGGAATGAACAGTGTGTGAAAATAATTTCTGAAGTTTTTCAGAACTGGAGTATTTTCACTGCAAGTCTTGATATTCCACACTGCATTTTGTGCAGAAGCAAACTTGTTGCTGAGCCTGGACATTTTTATAGTGTCACTGAACAAGTCTTTTCTGATAATCTGGTAGAGGGTTGATGCGAGAGTTAAGTGCTCTGACTTTCTTGATCCGAAGGCTGCTGAAAGCCAGAGCATGCTTACTTGCTTTTGTCCCAGCAATGGTAAACTCATTTTGTTGTTAAATGAAAATACAAGCTTTATGAAAGCCTTAACAGATTGCTGGAAGACACAGGATGTTTTAAACAATAAACAAAAATGTATTTGTCAGATAAAATAGAATATGACTACTTAAGAAAAAGAAAAAAAAAAAACTTTGTTAAAGTAACATGCTTTTGAAACACAAAGTGGTTTTTTTTTTATTTTGTTTCTTTTACTCCATATTCCAGCTTCTCTTCTCAAATACAAACTACATTCTTACAAGACTGATGTTGTAAAGTGTTCTAACTCTTCCAAAGATAGTCTTGTATTTCTGTAGTCTTGTATTTCTGTTTATGTTGAAATGAAATAATGGTCAAGTGTATGCCTTTGGCATGTATAACCTGGGAATGTCTGAAATTTAGTGTTAAATTTAATTTGAAATTGTCAAAAGTGAATTGTGTCAACCAGACACATTGCCGTAAGGCAATATAAAAAATAAGGGTGTTCACCCTTATGGATGATTAATCACCCATAAAAGAAAAATTTACTAATTGTTTACTTCTACTAAATGGTCAGCATGTGTTTGCAGTGTTGCTGAACTTACTGGAGACACCTTTGTGGGCACTTATTTTAGTAGGATATGACTGAGTGGCAACAGAACACATTCACCAGTAACTTAAGGAATAAATTTCAGTTGTCTTTTGGCTCAGAGCATCTTCTGCACAAAATATTTTGCACAACGTACATGGAATAACTATTGTTTACTTACTTTCTGGTTCAGCGTAGTCTTACGCAATGAATGCATGATGTACTCGTGGCTGCTCATCTTGACTAAATCTGTGAAATTAAATATTGCAAAGTACCTCATTCTCAGGTTATTGAGTTCTGAGATGCTAGGTTTGAGAAACTAGGGATTTGAATTCCTTCCTTGCACTTCTTTCCCAAATTGCATACTTCCAATGGATTTCCCTGTGCTGCAGGTCCTCAATACTGTCTGAAATTGCATCTTGAAAGAGAATGTGCATGAGTTGTCATATGTGAGGAGGGAAGGAGCTAAAATGAAGTGTGTTGTTTGGTTTTTTTTGAAGGCATGTCAGACTGAAGCAGGGGGTTGCAGAGGAGTGAGAAAGGAATTAATGCAAGATTATGTTAGGAAAGAAGATGTTGCTACCTTGTAAAGAATTTGAGGAAATATTAGACTGAAAGCCAGAAGACTTAGTTTAAAAGTGCCATCAGACACTGTATAGACCTTTCCAGTCTCCAGACTGGGAAAAAGTTTGACTTGTGAGAAGGTGTATGAAATCCAATGCCAGCATTAGATCTGATTGATTAAAATTTTCTGAAGTTGTTTTCTCTGCAATAAAAAATGTAGTGCAGGCCTTCTAGCCAAGAGGGGTTTTTTGTTCACTTTTAACTTAGCCATATTCCTTATGTTAAGGTCTGTGACCTATGTATTCTTTGAATATGTAAAAAACTGAAGAGTTTAGACATGCTTTTGACTGTTTGTGCAAGCTCTAAGTTTTAAAATGTTTTCAGTCCCTTAAACTCTACTTTCCTGTTCATTGATCAGCATTTGCAGCATGTTTTCAGTAAGATGTATTCAGATTTTCTGGCTTCTGAGATGAAGATGGGAGAGGGTGCATCCTCTGGGTCACTACACATCATTAGCACCACTTTGATGCAATATTTGCTCTTATCTTTTCTGAATTGGTTCATCTAGGTTAACTCTTTCAAGCTAATTATTGACTTGTAAAATTCATTGTCCTGTTTTGCAGGCTTTGCTGTAGCCCAGTGTATAAATCAGCACAATCCATCACCACTCTCATCACCTTCGCCTTCCAGTGGGAGTACAGGGCGCTGTGATTCAGTGACTGCAAGCTCAACATCCACTCCTTCTGCTGCACAGAGCCCATCAGGTATTAAATCATGATTTTCAGCCTAGGTACTAAAGGGTGTAGAGTAGTTTATTGTAAAATTAAATCACTATGTTACTGGATTACAAAAAGTAGGGCTTTATGTTTTTAAATCACTTGGTCATTCAGCTAAACTAAAAGTTAAAGTAAATTGCGGTGCAAATTTTAATGATCTCTTCAGCTTTCTGGAATTCTAATGAATACTTGGCATCTTTCATCAGTGATTTTAAATACCGGTGAAATAATGTCCTGCTTGTCTGACTTAACTCCTAGTACATAACATTTAAAATGTTGGGGGTTTTATTGTTTTGGTTTGGTTTTTTTTAAACTGAAGTATTGCTTTGCATAAATTTGTAACATAAATTGTTAGCCTTTCACCATAGTGGATAAGTTGATCTCAGCATGAAGCAGCTTTTTGGAGCTGGGTGACTTTTGCTTTTGTATGTTTTTCTGGTACTCATTTGTAACAATGGGCCAAATATGAAATATTTGAAAATAGTTATTTAGGATGCTAATATTGTAAAGCTTTTGCAATAACACTCTTCTGGCTGAACACCACCGCATTTGAGGAGGCTGTTTCATTGGTGCAGAAGAAACCGCCCTGTAAATAGACTGACAGTATAATTTCACAAATGTAGCTACCATGTGTTTGTGTTGGTGAGTATATTTAATGGGTATGTTTATACTGGAACTTCTTGTTGCATTAAGCGCCTTCATTCCTCCTTTTTTTGTGTAGTACTTGTAGAGAATCTTGTAATGGTGTTTGTTCTGAGTGCAAATTATGTGTGAGGTCAAGTCCCAAGCTGGAGACTAAACAAGAAGTAAATCCTGAAGGGTGCATACTGAAATGCTTTCATTGCTAGAACTGACCTGCTCTACCTCATTTAGGTTACAAAACAATAGAGGTAACTTGATTCTCAAGACCTTTTCAAACAGCCCCCTCGTTTTAACAGTCACTTCCAATGTTGATTACTCCTTGAAATGGTAGAAACTTTCTTCTGGTTCCACCTTCTAAGACATACCATTTTGCCTTTATTTGGAAGCCTCATTTATTTGGAAGACTCTAGATTAAAAAGCATCTGTTACTGTGAGAGACTAACATATAGTCAAAATATTCCTGCAGTATGTGTAATGCAGACTAAAATTTGGAATATTTTTCTGTATACAATCTATTCAAAACTTTGGAAGGACCTCATTTTATTTTCTCTGTTGGTAAGTGATTGCTGTTATCCAGTCTCTTGATGGCCCAGATAATGTGGTGATTACACAGGGAAATGGTATCGTTTGTCAGAAGTCTCAGTATGGATTGGCACTACAAGAAAACATTTCTTTGACTATGTTTCTCCTTAGCAATGTAAAAAAGCTCATCTACAATGTCCGTTGAATCCTCTCTGATCAGGAAGTGAATTGCAACTACAAGTTCTTGGCAATAGTGGCTAAGAGAAAACTGTGGTAAAGGAAATGAAAATTTAAAAAATGTAAATTATTTTTGTTGCTGTAAGCACATGCTAGTTCACAAATATCAAGCAAGACTATACTACATACTTCAAAATGAAGTCTTTCAAGTGCATGTAATCTGACTTCTATGAAAAACTGAGTAGATCCAGAACAGATAATTCCTCATCTAGCATAAAAAGACGATGCCTGATTGAAGAATAATCATAGACTGTAGTTAAGAAAATTAAAATCTACTTACACAGTATGTTGGAATTTTAAAATCTGTTTATTTTTCCTTGAATTTAAAAACTCTGACAGGAGACTGCTCATTGGTTTAAAAACAAACAAACAAACCCCAAACAAGCTCTTCCCCTGACCAAAAAAAAAAAAAAACCAAAAGCCAAACACCAACAAAACCAAAAACAACCAAAAAACAATGAAAACAACACACCCACACAGATGAAAGTTTTGTTTTGTTTTTTTAAATGCCTAATTTCAGTCTGCACTTTGATGGTTAGGTTGTATGTACCATCCTCACTTTATGTGACCTTCACTGTGGCTTAATCATAATGTATGTTCACAATGCCACATGTCATGCAGGAAAACAGTCTTTGAGTGGGGTTTAGTTTTTTTTCACAGGATCTAGATGCACTGATGTAGATGCTTTAGCAAATCTAGTTGTGAGGATGCAATTCTGTGCCCTACCACTATGAGCATAGTAACCTTCAGCAAAGTCAGTGGAAACCGATATGAGAATCTGCATCAGCTACTTCAGTTCCAAGTCAGCAGCTTGCATTAACCTGCTACAGGGATGACTTTTGAGCTCAACTCTTGGCTTTTGTTCTGCTAACTCTACTTGGAGAGCAGTAACAGAGAGGAAGACAGTGACTATATGTGCATGAGCAGGTAATTCGGTGCAATAGGACAACGAACAGTTGGTACTGAGGTCCATGCATCTAATCTGCATGTGGCTTAGGGATTTTGCTGTGGACCATATTTACTCTGACCTTTAGTACCAAGCATCCCTGCCATCTATGTGATTGTCTGAAGGAGCAATTATTAGTTCAGATGTATGTTGCTATTAATACTTGGAGTGCATTTGGTGCATAGTTGCAGCATATGTTATAGTTTGGTTTCCTTGTGAAAGAATCTCACTGTTCCTAAATCCAAACTCTTCCTAAAATCAGACTAAAGCACTAGGTGTGCATCATCCTTCAAAGCTGCTCTATTGGTCTGACCCAAACTGCTAATGTAGTTGGAGCCAATAATGAACAAATAATGTTTTAAATAGTTATAGCTGAGCGGTTGATGGTATCTCAAGGTCCTTAGTATAGACTAGAGAGAGTTCTGAAATCCCTGGAGCTGGGTCTTTGGGAGGTGGGGGCATGGGGAGGGTTTTCTCCAGCTCTGGAAGCTTTGTTGATGCTTTTTGCTAATCTTCAGTGTCAGATCAATACCAGTCTATTCCTGGGAACAATGTTTCTGCATTACCTGATCTGACCAGTTTACTGCAAGTTTGTAATTAATGTTCTCCCTTTTATGGTTGTGATCTATACTGGAAACTGTTGCCAGGAGCATGACTATGAAAGAGATTATCTGTTTTGTATGTCCAGATAGCTGTTCCGTAGACTTCTGCATGAACAGAAGTACACCGCTCGAATAAGCGATAGTGTCTTAACCACTCTCCATGTTGTATCAGGTCTTACTGACCACTCAGCTGAGTTACAGAAACAATTGCTGGTATTCACCCACTTCAATGTAAAACAATATGATTTTTCCCATAACCTATTGAGGACAATTGAAACTAAACTGCCTTAGTCTGCTGTGAAGCAGAAGAGGAGACTTGCATGATGTGAAGTGGCTCCTTCAAGGAGGAAGTAACAAGTAGCTGATGAACAGCAAGCAGTCACCAAGATCTGCTTTATGCTCCAAGGTAGCACTTGAATGCTGCCACCATTTGTCACATTTGAATCTCCCTTCTCATTTCTCATTCCATTTTAAACTCATGTGAGCACACATATGTGTTCTCTGTCTCTCCCTCTTTCC